CCCGCCGTTGGCGGGCGGGGGGAACCCCGCGGTGTCGGGGGTGGTAGAGAAGACCGCGGCGCGAGGCAGCGCCGCGAGGCGGAAGGGGAGGGGGATCTCGCGGGCCGGAGGAAAGCGAGAGGGCGCGAGCCGGCCTGGCGCGCGTGCGCGTCGCCGGGAAAAGGGGAGGGCGAGGAGCGCGCGGGCGGGAGCTCCCGAAGGGGGAGGGGCGGGAGGAGGGAGCTGCGGTGCGAGGTGCCCGCGCGCACCCGGGCGGGAGATGAGGCAGAATAAAATAGGTGAATCTCGCACCCTGGCCCTTGGGGTTGGTAAGAAGCAGCACCGGCGCTCACACGCGCCAGGGATTTAGATTCCCTAGCTCTCAGACCGCCTCAGAGGCTGGCGGCCGCTGTCGCTTCACAATGAGCGTGTGAAGCGCTGGGGGAGGAGCCGAAGAAGCAGAGAGAAAGAGCCGGCCACCTCGCCTACGCCGCTGGCGTAACGTCGGGATGCCTCCGCCGATGTGTGAGGTGTCACTTTGTGGCGTGAGGTTCTTCCGCCACTTGGGAGCTCGTGGGCGGAGTCTTAGGTGCCAAAAAATCCGTAGGACTGGACAAACCTAGCGACTGCTCTTTTAGGCAGGTGGTAGGTTTTATTAGGAGCTGCTCTCCACCTTATCTGCTTTAAATAAAAGACTGATAAGCATTAAAGTGGTTAGTTTGAGCATGCTGGGTTTTGCAGATAAGTCTGTGCCTAATCCTAAATTATTTTAAATTTCAGTGATTTTAAGCATAAACTACGCCTCCATGCCCAAGAACAAACCCTTAAACTGAAGTAGCAAAGAGATCTGAAAGCCAAAGTCCCTAGGGCCTAGTTCAAATCCTCTCCCCGCTAACTCTACAATGAAGGCAACCTTCATTCATTCTGAATTAGAGGGCTGTCCGGTTGTTAGCTCACTTGGTCAGAGCGCGGGCTGACAACACCAAGTACCAAAGTCAAGCGTTTGGATCCCCGTACCCGTCAGCCGCCAAAATTAGTTGGGCATTAGGGTATTAAGCTAGATGCTTTGGACACAAGGGTAGTTAAACCACTTCCTGCTCTCAATGAGTTAAAGCTAATGATGGATTTAGATGATATGATGAGATCTATTAGGTGAAGCACAAGACATTATGAGAGCAGATAGGAGTGACACCTAATCCAGCACTGGGTGACATCTAACTTAAGAAGGGTGTAGGGAGATGGATTTCTAGGCAGAGATTATAGGATGTGACAAGCTAAAAAAAATTCAGCGTGGCTGGAGCATAAGATTAAAGGGGAAGTGGGTTTTTAAAAAATGAGATTGGAGAGGTAGGTAACCTGGGGCCAGGTTTTGTTTGTTTGTTTGTTTATTTATCTATTTATGGTGGCGGGCTGCTAAGGGGATCTGAACCCTTGACCTTGGTGTTAAAACACTGCACTCCTACCAAATGAGCTAACCAGCCAGCCCTGGGGCCAGGTTTTAAAGGCTTCCAATCCTTGTAAGAGACTTGAACATTATCCTCAAAACAGTGGAGAACCTTTTCTAGAAAATGAAGAGAGGTCAGATTTACATTTTTAAAGGTTTACTTTTTGCAACCTGGAGAATAGAGTGCTTTTGCAACCTGGAGAATAGAGTGCTTTTGCAACCTGGAGAATAGAGTGCAGCAGTGATGGGCATGTGGTCTTAATCCCAGTGAAATACTCAATGTGGGGCCGGCCTGTGGCTCACTCGGGAGAGTGCGGTGCTGATAACACCAAGGCCACGGGTTCGGATCCCATATAGGGATGGCCGGTTGCTCACTGGGTGAGCGTGGTGCTGACAACACCAAGTCAAGGGTTAAGATCCCCTTACTGGTCATCTTTTAAGAAAAAAAAAAAAAAAGAAATTCTCAATGTGTTGGTCTTCTCTCTAGGCATTAGCATTGGAACTCTTCCCGGCCCCTCCTCTCCAAACACACACCTAGCTAAAAGTCTGCCTTACTCTTTGGGAAGTATTCTTTCACCCCTGCCTGACTCTTAGATAGCTTCAAATGTGTTGAGTTCCCCTCCTGTGTGGTTGCCCAGCAATTTACCCCACTTTAACAGCTCCTTCAATTCTGTCTTACTAATAATGTCAGCTGCCTAAGGGTTGGGATCTTGACACTAACTCACTGCTCTCTCTGTAAGACCAAGCACAATGCAGACAATGAAATATTTGCAAGGTGATTGGATCCAAATGTTATTTTAAAGGCCTAACTGTCTCCCAGGTGCCATATCACAATCAAGCTTTTTCCTGGCATTACCTGCACCACCTGGTGCAGGGAGATGGAGATGGCGCCTCTGCATACTCATTGTGGACTCTCTGACTATTCTACTCACTCCACCCTACTCCCACCCCAGATTCAAAGTTTTAGCCCCATTAGACTCCCTTTTCCATAACATGCCTCCCTGTGTTCAACTCTACCTGCTTCCCCGTACAGAATTCTCTTCCGATTCTCTACTTTCTCATTCTTCAAGCTCCAGTGTGAGATTTTTCTTTTCTTTCTTTTTTTTTTTTTAAAAAGATGACCGGTAAGGGGATCTTAACCCTTGACTTGGTGTTGTCAGCACCACGCTCACCCAGTGAGCAAACGGGCCATCCCTATACGGGATCTGAACCCGTGGCCTTGGTGTTATCAGCACCGCACTCTCCCTAGTGAGCCACAGGCCGGCTCCGAAACTTGCTTTCTAACAACACACTCTCATGGGAATTAATTAACTCCTGAGAGAACTAATCCGGTCTCCTGAGAGTGAGAACTACCATGAGATCCACAAGGGCAGGGCCCCCATGACCCAAACACCTCCCGCTAGGCATCTCCTCCCATTACTGCCCCATTGGCACTTATTCATTTTGTTTACTCTGGCAGCTGGCCGGTGCGGGGATCCGAGCCCTTGACCTTGATGTTAACACCGCATTCTAACCAACTGAACTAACCAGCCAGCCTGCACTTAAACTTCAACACGAGTTTTGGTGAGGATGAGCCATGTTGAAACCATAGCAGTAAGTGAGCTCCCTTTCTGAGTGCATCTTCCATCTCCCAAAAGAAGGCTGTGGTTTTCTCATTTCCTTCATAGTCGCATCCTTCAGAAGCAAAGGGAAGGGAGGGAGCAGGAGATCACACACACACACACACACACACACACACACACACAGAGAGATGCCCTACCCACTCTTTCCTACTCAATTCCTTGAGTTTATCTTCTTTAGGGCTCTCAGAAGTCACAGCATCTTCTGGCACCTGTTCATCAAACGTTTCTTCACTTAGGCCGGCCCGTGGCTCACTTGGTAGAGTGCGGTGCTGATAACACCAAGGCCACGGGTTCGGATCCTATATAGGGATGGCCGGTTTGCTCACTGGCTGAGCGTGGTGCTGACAACACCAAGCCAAGGGTTGAGATCCCCTTACCGGTCATCTTTTAAAAAAATAAATAAATAAATAAAAGCATGTTATACAGACTAACTTTTTTGATCCTTACAACCACCCCATGAGACAGGTACTATTATTATCAACATTTTACAGAAGAGGAAACTAAAGCACAGAGATGTTAAGGAACTCTTGGCTGTCATAAATGTCTTCCCTGACCTGGCCCTTAGGTTTATTTCTACCCTTCTCCTGAACATAGCCTAAAAGACTGACCTCAGTTTCTTCCACAAATTGAAACTCACTCCATCTCCTTCCAGAGATTTCTCCATCCTGCAAAAATCACCTTCTTCTGCTTGTGTGTGGCCCCAATCCCTTCAAACCTTCCTAGACTTTGCATTCTAGTGTTTACATACCTTGTTTTCATCTCCCCTCCATCTTGCAGCAATCTAGAGGTGAGTGGGGTCCAGCAACCCTGTCTCCTGAATGCTCCAGCCTATGTGATAATAGGGACTATGCTTCAAGTCTACTTAGGAGGGGACCAGAACCTATTTCTGGTGTCACCTCTTCCCTGTCCTCTCCACCACTGCTGTTCAGATCTTGGGGACTGGGAATATACAAAGCTGCTAGAGTAGAGAAGTTTCTCCTTCAGAAAAAACAATTGCCTAATTTCCTCTTTTCCAGGTCCCAAATCACAGGTTTTTCACATTGCTGTAGGAGGCAGCAAGGCCCTTGCCCTTCTCAAGCTGTCCTGCTTCTCCCAGGCCCATGTCACCATCCTCCCATCTTTCATTTCTTCTCTCACTCTGGGCTCCTCATCCACCTTCTCAGACCCAGACACCTCTGTGCATCTTCTAGGTGTAGAAAATTGCGACAGCCAAGGCAGTGATGCTCATCAAAATGGCCAGGATTATGTTCCCCTGATTCACTGTCACTCTGAAAACCCGGA